GGGGCCCCCCCCCCCCCACCCTTTTGAAAAATTTTAAACATCCAGAAAAGCTAGAAAAAAAAAATGTAATGACTATTTATATACCCTCCACCTAGAGCCAGTAATTAACATTTTGCCAAACGTTGCTTTACTTTTTTCCCCTTCCTCTATATACTTTTAAAAAAATCTAAAACATTTGAAGTAAGTTGCATATGTTAGGACATTTTACTGCTAAATACTTCTACATGCATGTTTCAAGAATAAGGACATTCTCCTAATAACCACAATACCAGTATCACATCTAAGAAAATAAACAGTAATTACATCATCAAATATCTAGTTTATATCTAAATTTCCTTGTCTCAAAATTATTTTTTGTGGGGCCGGCCTGTGTCTCACTCGGGAGAGTGCGGTGCTGATAACACCAAGGCCCGGGGTTCGGATCCCATATAGGGATGGCCGGTTAGCTCATCGGGTGAGCATGGTGCTGACAACACCAAGTCAAGGGTTAAGATCCCCTTACTGGTCATCTTTTAAAAAAAAAAAAATTATTTTTTGGAGTTGGTATTTTTTACCAATTCGGGATCCAGTTGAGGTTTATTTATTTATTTATTTTTTCTAAAGATGACTGGTAAGGGGATCTTAACCCTTGGCTTGGTGTTGTCAGCACCACACTCAACCAGTGACCTAAACGGCCATTCCTATATAGGATCCGAACCCGTGGCCTTGGTGTTATCAGCACTGCCACGGGCCAGCTCACTCACTCCCGAGTGAGCCACGGGCTGGCCCCAGTTGAGGTTTATAGGTCACATTTGCTTGTTTGATTCTGTACTCTCTTTTAGTCTAGAACATAGGAAAGTTTTTATAAAAGGGATCTTATAAACAGTTTATTTATGTTAAATAGTCAGTATTAGGGGTTGAAGGGAATGATCCTGCTATTATAGTACATTTTATTAACCTGGATCCATTAACATTATTCGTAACTTGAGAGAAAAGCCAATAAAATTTGGAAAGGGAATCGTGCCTGTTCTTACCTGAATGCTATTTTTAATATTTTTGAAGTGGTGGTCTTGTGTGTGTGTGTTTCTTCTGAGAAAAAACGTTTTCTTGTAATTAATGAGTGTACTTACAAATTGCCCTAAGGTGTATGATTTGTTCTGTTTTGTAAAACTTATATAATTATCTTTCCTAGAAATTAGCATGGTTCAAAAAAGTATTGCTTAGTATTCAGTATCCTCCACAATTTGGCCTTCAGCTAACCTCATTTTCCTATTGTTCTTTGTTTACTTAATTCTTCTTCCAAAGTAGACTTGTTTCCTTTAGTCACTGTCACTTACTTACCCTTCTTTATTCATCTCCTAATTTTTGCTTATGCCTTTCATTGCTTGTGCCCATGTGCCTTTTTCAAATCCTCCCTTTCTTTTAAGGCACAACTCCCTCATTGAGCTGAAGCAGTTTCTGCTTTGATTTTTGTGGCTCTTGATCTATACTTCTCTTAAGGCACATTCTACTTATCATCCTGAATCACATGTATGTATCATTCCTATGAGACTAAACAACTTGAGATAGACTCTGTGTCTGTGTCATCTTTGTATACTCCCTATTGCTGCTCATCTAGTTGGTGCTCAGTAAATGTTAATTGAATAAGTAAATGTTCCTTAATAAATATCTTCACATGCCCTATTAATGGACCAGTTTATCCGATCAGATTAATCCATAGCTAACATTAGTTGTTCAGCTTGCTGTAGAATCAAATTTAAAGGTGACCATGGATAAATTTAAACTTAGTACAGGAAATGTTGTATGCTTTCTTTTAAACTGTTTCCTCAAGCCTTCCCTTTCTCGATAAATTACTTAGAATGTGGTTCTAGGAAGTTTTTCACTTACAGTGGGCTAGACATGTTGCATTTCCTGTACCACCTTCTAAGATCATTAGAGAAACTAAGAAGAGGGGTGGTGGGATAGGAGTGACACTGAGAAGGGCTACTCCATAGGAGATAACTATTTCCCTGAGAATCCTGAATCTCTCAGCCCAACCTGCTTCATAGTGTTACTAACAAGAAATCACCTTTGTGGGACATTGTATACGGAGAGCTATATTGGGACTCTGACTGCAGGAGAACTTGAAATGAGCTTTGAAGAGAGACGATGATGATGATGAGGGCAGTAATATTGTGAAGAACTTTCTGAGCTGGTGGAGGAAAGCTGGGCTCATCTCTTTATAGTGCTCTTTGCTGGTTTCAATATATTCAGTCAGTGGGACTGTTTCATCAAGGATGGAGAACCAGAGTATTTAGCGATGATGATGAGGGCAGTAATATTGTGAAGAACTTTCTGAGCTGGTGGAGGAAAGCTGGGCTCATCTCTTTATAGTGCTCTTTGATGGTTTCAATATATTCAGTCAGTGGGACTGTTTCATCAAGGATGGAGAACCAGAGTATTTAGCCTCTTTTGGAAAGGACCGGTAGAGACAGGAAAACTAGAATGACTGCTTATTATTGTTCTTTTCAATAAATGTCCTTCATTCCTTTTCTAGTCTTTTCGGGTTTTAGCTGCTTCATATAGAGGGTTATATATTGAGACTGAGCATTGCTGGTAGTTAAACGGTCATCTCTGCATAATACAGCGTACATGTGGAATTAACTGCAGACTTTTAACTCTCTCATCAACAGTGTTTTAAAGAGTGCATCTTGATGGGGTATGAGCAGGAGCGGAAGCATGCTTGAAAGACCTGCTCAGACATTTCCACAGAAGGAAAGATAGAACACTTAAAATTCCCCTGATATTTTAAATAAGAACATTCCAAGGAATCCTAATTTGCCAAACAGAAAGACTTCCTGGTTTAGGCTCTAGTGAGATTGTGGCATGACAGTCGCTTTCTCTACCTCAGGCTCTTCCTCGGCAGTCATGTGAGAGATGCTAGACCAGCTGTGATCTGCTAATCTCTAGCAGTGAGTGCAGTGTTG